CCGAGACGCTCGACGAAGCCGGCGAACACCTCAAGATCGAACAAGTCGTCGACGAAAAGGCCCAGGCACGGGGAAACGTCGGGGCCGTGGCCGTCCACGAAGAGGGGATTGGCAAGGTCAACAACGACACTGTCTAGCCTGGTACAAAGGACAAGCACAAGTACAAGCAGCGTGCGAGACTGTTGGGTTGCAATGGACTAGAAGCAAGTTGGTGGTTGAAACTGGTAGAGCCATGAGGATGATCCATGTGTGCTCCTCACCTCTTGTCTTCTATATCGCCACCGCCCATCATCACCAAAGGTAACACATGTCACGCACGTACGTACAGAAAGAAGTGGTAGTAGTCGTGCCACCTGGGTGTAGATCTAGGTCTAGGTCTAGATCTAGGTCTAGATCCTCCAAATACATAGTCGCGACTACATTTTTCTACGAGTACATAATCCGCCCGCCCCAGCGAATTTCGCCGGGGCGCAAGATAAAAAGTCCAGAAAAGATTGCCATAATGCATAGTCATCCCATTTCCCTGTCTGAATATTGGTTGAGCCCCATGCATACCGCCCCATGCGAAAAAGGGTATGGCACGAGTTCGGGTACGGGTACGAATACGGAAGTATAAATCTACACGTTAGTTATTCAAATGGAAAAAAGGGTGACGAGAGGTACATCGCATAGTAGATAGATGGGGCTCTTTGTTGTTTCAATACCAACTCGCTCACTAAAGAGTCAAGTTATTTTACAGTACCCTTGATTGTCATCCCGTAGAGACTCTCGCTGTCATACACACACACACACACACACACACACACACACACACACACACACACACATATCCACAGTAGACACTACATCCTCTCCGTCTCTCTCTGTGCATGTGTGTGTTTCCTCTTCCTCAACATCCGTTCTGTTTCCAATTCCGATTGAATCACATCTCACCAAGTGATTCACATCTCACCAAGTGAAGTACTTACCACTCAAACCCACGCTCGCCCTCCTCGCGGGCCTCGATCAACTGCCTCTCCCGCCTCGCCCCGGCCGTCGCCAACTTGCGATAATCAAAAGTATCCTTCATGACGACGGCGGGGGCGGCGGCATTGTCATCAACACCACCACCATCACCACTATCACCGTGGTTAACAATAGCACTATCACCCCGAAATCCCCCAATGCCAGTGCCAATGCCATGGCCAACATCATCGACAACAGGCCTCCCATCCCTCTCGTCCCGCCGAAGCCGCATCCCACTCCAGATGCTCCCGGCTTCGCCGATCCCCAAGACGCGGTTCTCCAATTGAACCTCCCGCTCGAGTCTTTCGGCTTGCTCGCGCTCCGCTTGACGCTCCCGCTCCCTCTTAAGCGCGACAGCCCGCTGCACAGCCTCCCTGGCTGATCGGTCCCGCGCATGGCGCAAATTGTACAGGGCAAAGAACAGCATGGCACGGCCGCCGTCGTGGACGTGGGCGGGTTGTCTGCGGTTGCGGGGGCGGCGTTGGCGGAATGGGTTGCTGGGCGCGACGACCAGGCGTGGGTGCCAGGGGGTTATTTGGGGGTTGTTTTCGTCATCAACATCTTCTTCGTCGTTGTCGTCCTTTGATTCGTCACTGAGGTCAGAAACGACTTGGTTTGCGCCGGCGTAGGGGTTATCACTGTCGTCGTCGTCGTCGTCGTCGTCATCATCATCACCGTCATTGCCATCGTCATCGTCAGGGTTGGCAGCCCTTCCGAAAAGCATTGGGGGATGAGAGTTCAGAGCACCGCCAGCTGGGACGTCAGTGGTGCCACCCGCATCGGCACCAGCACCAGCACCACCGGCACGAAGTAACTGGTCCTCCTCGGCAAAGTAGACTTGGTATGAGAACCACTCGTACTCGGAATCACCGTCACCGTCACCGTCACTGGCACTGGCAGTAGTGTCCTCACCTTCAAGGTCTTGCTGTTCTGCCAAGTAGCGAACGAGTTGTTCCTCAAGAGAAGCAATCGCAGGAGGTATCACACCCTCCCCGACACCATCGCCTGACTCACCTGCTGGGAGAGAGGTGTCGCCTGGATCCTGCCCGTGCAAAATGTCAGCAAGGTCATCGGCTGACGCGAACCGGCGCAGGGACGGGAGTGTGTTGTCATCTGGTGGAGGGTTCTGGGTTGGGTCAGCCATTTCTTTCGTTCCTCCTTGGGCAGGATAAGGGAGCAGATCGAAGGGGGGAGTGAAGGTGTTTCTCTCTTCTCACACGACTTGGATAATGACCACGAGTGGGTGTTGTTCTTTCCTGTCTTCAGTGTTGCGTGAGACTCGTTCTCTCTCTGAATGGTGGTATTTCTGAAAGACGATGAACCAAGGACAAAGCGAGGGGGAAGAAGGAGAGAGTAAGTAATGGCTCCCTCTCGCTTTGAGGCATCACAAGCTAGGGCAGCGCGTGAAGGCATCTTCGCAAGGCAGCGGCCTTTGGCAAGACAGGCCCAACACAGCCTTGCCTCCAAAGTGGTGATAGAGCAAGTTAGTTCCTAGTTTCTTTGTCTTTCCGAGAGACAGTGACATGAACAAAGAACCAGAGTGAATTTCATGGTGATGCGTCACAAGGAGACTTGTCACAGGCAGTGTAGTGCAGTCAGTGCCTTGTTCTACTGCCTAGGTAGATACAAGGCTCAGAATGGGTGATGAAGGACGAAGGTTTTGACAGCTGAAATCGAGTCGTCTTGAGGACAGCATGCAGACTGATAACGCACTCCTCCCACACCGTCGCATGAGATGGTGTAACAATGGGACGCTCTTGTTCCTCACTCTCGGGTGAAACACACAAAGGTCTCGGGACAAAAGAGAAAATGGGGAAACCATCCATAAAGGGACATGCGCCAATGTTGGAGAGAGGATCTATCGCCAGACTCGTGGTTGTTCGAGTGACAAGCTCATTCGGTCCGGAGTGCCCGAATAACAGCAAAAGGCAGTGGATATCGCATTGTCTGGGCACGGCGATCGATTAGTTGTCCACAAAATGCCACGAGAAGTCCATCGCTCAGCCGGACTACCATGATGCCGGATAAGAGCATAAACATAAACTACTGCAACGCTGTCTCCACTTCGTGAACGCTGTCTAAGCCGCCGAGAACCTCATAGAATGGAGCATCAAGGATCTCGACGCACCCTAGTAATTGTCGTCGTCGTATCGAGCATCATCACGGCCTTGGTCGTAGGCGTTGTCCACGTTGTCACCAAATCCTGCCTTATCGTTAGCAACGCATGTCTGTCCTGAGGATGGAACCTCGGCAGTATCTCAGAAACAAAGATCCGACGATCAACTTACTCTCGACATCCCCGACCTTTCGACCGGCCCAGCCGGCAACATCATCGGGCACATCCTCAACATCCTGCACCGCATTGTCCCACTTGCGTTCAATATCTTGAGGGATATCCTCGACATCTTGAACCTTTTCCCCAGTCCAGCGGGCGGCATTCTCTGGAAAGTCCTCGACATCTTGCACCCCATCACGCACGTCGTTCTCGACATCATACTTGGCGTCGTCCCACTTCTCCTCTGTGATGCGTCAGACCGCGGTATACCGAGTGGGCAACAGCCCGATTGTGACACTTACCAACTTTCTCTCCTTCGTGCATCAAGAGAGCACCACCGAGAAGTCCCGCAGCTGCGCCCAACGCCACATTTCGACCAGTGTGAGATTTCTTCTCCGGCTCCTGCTCCTGTCCTCCGTAACCAGACCCGTAGCCGCGCTCGTCGTAGCCTCCTCCTCCATAGGATTGCTGCGGGTGTTGGAAAGTCCGCTCTCCGGTCTCGCGGTTGACGAAGAACCAGCGGCCGTCACGGTCGTCCCATTCGGCGACCCATGGATGAGGCACTTGAGGTGGACCCCCGTAAGAGGAAGGTTGGTTGTACGAGTCCCGGCCGTAGGAGCCGTCGGGTCGATCGTTGTAGTAAGACATTGCTCAGTGGAGTGCGTTGGGTTGGAAAAGTGATCGTTAGAGGTTTGTAGTTAGTTAGCTACGCTCTCAAGGCAAAACGCAGGTCAGGAAGAGGGAAAGAGGGAGGAGAGCAAGGTGTCGAGGGTGATGAGAGGAAAAGAAGGTGACAGTCAAGAGTGAGACGAAAAAAACAGATGACTGTGCCGTCAGTGCTAATGAAGGGGGGACATGACACGATTGTGTGGCGTGGGCACAGAAAAAGACGCTGACAGGTGCTTTGAATTCCTCAAACCGTGGCAGAGAGCCAACGATGGAGGGGCCAGGCACAGGAGGGGCACAAGGACGGATCTCGGGGACGAGCCACTGCGCGCATCTGACAATCTCCTTTCCTTTCTGCCTCTTGAGTCCTCTCTACCTACGGAATACGGACCAGACAATACCCATCACTTATAGATTTTTCCATCTGCAGAACCATCATCAACATACCAAGTAGAGTAGTAGATGTAATCCTGACGGATCAATCGTCGGCTCGCTCCGAATCTTCCAGGTACCCCGCCACGCCCGCCAGTCTTTGCTGTCTTACCGAAGCCAAGCCCAAACCAAGCTTCGCCCAGTGGAAGCTTAGCTTCCTAACACTAATTGTTAGCTGCTTGGCTGCGCACCCAGAAACCGCGTGTTCGTGATCGACCCTGCCAGATCTCAGCGATGATTGTGGGAATTAATGCTGCGACTTGCGCAATCGATAGCCTTGCAGTGTCCTTAATAACGCACTCCTCGGCTAAGATATGCTATTATCCACCAATTCCACCGAAATTCCTTTGGTAGCTTGTATCCTCCCTATCAGTTATCTCAGTCAGTCGTTACATCAATCATCCCACCTCGTAAATTGTACTACGTCGAACTTCTCTTGAATCCTCCGATCGGATTCGAAACCTATAGGTCTCGGCGAATGGAAGCAGAGCGAGGCCGAACGACCAAGTATTCTGCAAGTCACCCTGCACAACATGGCGACCTTCCAAAGAGGTTACGCAACGAGAGTAATGACGACACTAGCGAGGATGATGGTTATTCAGGTAAAAAGTTGTCGGCATCCATGGCTCAAACCATTCGAGCACTAGAGCAACTGGTTGAAGAAGCTGTGAAACTCGCCGAAAATGCCGGGTCTGTTCAAGACGACAGTCTCGTACCCGAACACAACGGAAATCTGCCCAGACCACCGAATCGGCCGCCGCTAGGTCTCGCAAAGAAGATCAGCAAATATCTGGAAGAAGTCTCCTCAAGAACATGCAACATCGTATCCTCGCCAAAAGGCGGGCATTCCCTAAAGTCGCGAACATCTGTTGCGGAAATGCGTGCAAGCAGTTACGAGAGAAAAATGGGAGATTCTGCTCCTCGCAGCCGGAAGACGCGTAGTACCGATGACCCACAAATTCTCCTTCCGCAACCTGTCGCTGAGTCTTTGGAGGAGAGGAAGAAAAAATTGTCGAGGGACAGAAGATCAAGAGCATTGGCTGCAGAGCCCAGGAACGGACCAGCTCAATTCCTATCCCCTCCGCAAATTGGCCCTCGTACCACATCCTCCAGAGGTATCGCAGAAAGGAGATCTTCGGCCTCGAGGCCAGCGCCAACCTTGACGCTGAACACCGGGCAGCAGGTTGTACAGTTCGATGAAGACCAGGAACCATTGTTAGGTGCCCCTCGACTGGGTCACGAAAGGCATTTCAGTGAGATGTTTGGCATTCCATCCCGGCATGTGAGCATCAATATGGAACATCCATCGCCATATCCATCCTACACGGTTGACCTCAATGGTGTACAGCATATCGACCTGCCAGAGCGAGCAGAACATTTGGATGTTCGCACCACTTGTCACCATGCACCTGTGGCTCGAAATTGGCCACCGTCTCGAAAGCGATTCGCTGCGGTGGTGAGCTGCATCAATGTCGCCTGTCTAGGTTTACTTCTCGGCATATATGCAGGAGAAGTCCCGGCAATTCAGTATGTCGTTGTCGATTTCAATCGTCATGTCATTCTTGGGAACCTCTTCCTCTATCTTGGACTTGCCGTTCCGTCCTTGGTATTCTGGCCCCTTCCCTTGTTGCACGGACGGAAACCTTACACCCTTGCAGCACTCACCTTGACATTATGTCTGCAGATACCTCAGGGGCTCATGATCACGTCATTCAGATCCCCTGATTTGAAGAGATATCGCATTATTCTCCTGCTTTCTCGTGGATTGTCAGGTTTTGTTCTTGGTTTCGCTGACATCAACAACCTCGCCACATTGTTGGATATCTTCGGCGCATCGTTAAAGAGCAGTGACTCACATGAGATACCTGATCCGTACGATGTACGCCGGCATGGAGGTGGCATGGGAATCTGGCTAGCTATCTGGTCATGGTGCACTGTTGGCTCGATCAGCATTGGATTTCTAATTGGAGCACTCATCATTAGCGACACTTCCGTGGATTGGGGGTTTTGGATCTCGTCATTGCTGCTGTTGGCAGTTATTCTGCTCAATCTCATTGCGCCAGAAGTACGGCGATCGGCATTCCGGCGAACAATCGCAGAAGTCATTGGCGAGGGCAGAAGCTTCAGCAGGATCGCTCGTGGCGAGATCAAACTTCATCTCACCGGGAACGGGCCGTACTGGTGGGGTGAAGAAGTTATGGCCGCTCTGAGGCTAAGTTGGCGGATGGCCAAGCAGCCAGGCTTGCTGGTACTGTCCATTTATGCTGCTTGGGTGTACGCACAATTCACTCTGGTTTTAATGGTGAGTCCTTGACCGTGGTTTGCCGGGCTTGACGGGCTTGACTAATGTCAACAGTTGCTCGGAGCCTTAGCTTCCACTGAATATCACTATCGTCCAGAAAAAGTTGGATTATGCGTTCTCTCTCTAGCATTTGGATCAGGTTTGGCAATACCTTTCCAGAAAGCATCTTGGCTGAGTCGTGCTCGGTACCACCGTCCCAGTACAGACAGCATGACCTTCCAGAGGGCCATGATCTGGCGGTCGCATACCGTTCGGCGGATATCCTTCACGGTTTTTCTCCCGCTTGTAGCAATCGGATACGCCTTGTCGTCAAGAAAGCCCCCATTTCCAGTCGTCGTGCCATGCGTGTTCGCCGCTTTTATTGGATGTGGCTCAAACTTGGCGATTGCAGAATGTTATGCTCAAATAATGTTGACCTTCGACACATCAGACTTGCAACCAGGCATGACTGGGCGCCCTGTGCGGAGATCAGTCAAAAGACGAAGAGGAGAAGAGCGCACAAATTTCTCCTGCTATCCACGAGTTAGTGCGGGCATAGCCGTCACCCAGTTTCTGAAATTCGTGTTCGGCGCGGTGGCCACGGGCATTGGGGGTCGAGTGGAGCGAAGGTATGGTGGTATGCAGGCAGCCGGCATCGTTGCAGGTGTACTCATGATCTTAACTCTTCTTCTCACTGTGGTACTCTTTAGACGGAAAAATGTCCAGATGATCCCAGGTATTCAGGATCGGAGGATGGAAAAGGCAGAGGAAGAATGGGAACCTGTGATTTTGGGTAACCCGGGTGGATTGACCCGCAAGATCAACGTCCTGGAGGCAGGTGAGTACACTCGATGGTCGGAAATTCGACGGCAAAATCGGTTGACTTCTGAACATGGGGTCACGTCGTGAGGTATGCTGTAGCGATAGTTGTTGACTGGGATTTGTGAAATATGTCAACTTAGTTTCACTGCTTCTTTCGATCTCTATCCCTTGACCCCATTGGAATGACAGAAATAAGGCCTCCTGTAAGACATCGTCCTTGCCATCATGCAAGGACACTCATTCTGCATAGAACAGAGCCCTCCCAGCGCACTCTGGCAACAGACTTTTTGTCGATGTCAAAGTTGCGAGTTAGTTTTGAGACAAATATCGAGGCCGCGTAACGGCCATCTGTAGGAACAATTTAAATTTCAAGGTAGTCTGTTTTCCGTAGTTGTCCCACATGTTACTGTGTCAGCGCCTCGGGAGGATTGAAGTCTTCGATGAAGGAGGGCAGAGATAGTCGGCACTGGCGTCAAGACTAGTATTAAAGGTGCTTAATCAGCCAGCCAACCAATTCATGATGACGGAGTAAACAATTGTTTCTTGTGCGATGATTCGGCTAAATGTGTGGACGGTGCCAAGTCGTTGGGAGCGCAGGGAGGAACCTGGGAGCGCCTGGGCATGGATGGAGGGTTCGGACTGCGCTGGGCCTCCCATCGGCCGTCTCGCTCCTTTGGGTGTGATATTGCGGCCGCAACTCGTGGTTGACAACTCGCCCGGATATGCTTGCACAAGCTTGGGCCCTCGAAGCTAATGCAGAAGCTACGGTAGCGGCCTCGAGGAAAGGAAAAGGGTTGTCGCGGGGAGGATGCGGCCATGTCATAGCTTGTGGGTGTAACCCCAGTTGGTGTAACTCGCCCGCAGCTGTGTCATCATTACCCTCTCATCGCCTCCCCACAGTAACAATCACAACCACTACCACCACTATCATCGCCATTGTACCATTTGGATTTCCCTCACTTCGCACATACGATCCTTTTTGCTTGTATCCATTGGCGAACCGGTCGCTCTGCCTATGGACTACCCATTGCATCCTTTATCGCCTTGAAACCGAGATATTCTCGCTTCAACGCCCTCACCATTGACCACACCACAAACCATCAATAATATTTACCCATCGCGCTGCGCTGCCATCCCCTCTTTTCTACTCTTCGACACCTCTCTGAACTCCTGCCGGATATCGGCCCCCCGTACCCCGTTCATACCCATTTATATCCGACTTATCGGTGCTTTCACTATCGCGAGCCGGCGCCGATTTCACATGCACGGCTGATTCTTATCCACAGTTGCATCGCCACCCGTGCCCTGACATAGTCGTGCGGAAGGTGTGCTTTACCTTTAAGACCGAGGTATCCTTACGAGATTAGAAAAATCCGCCATATATCAGAGGCTCCCTACGATCCGAATACACGAATACACACGAGAAGAGCAGTTTGCGCATCTGCCAACATGGATATTGTCGATCGGGATATGCAGCGGGCTGAGCTCCAGGCCACGCGCCAATGGTCTCACGAAAGTAAAGAGCGCCGGTCATTGCGCAGCCAGAGATCTCAGCAATCTGGAATTTCGAGCTCTACAGGCTCCAGCACATCCTCTGCACCTGATATGGGCAGAATAGCTACTGCTGGAGCCTCAAGCGCAACAGTTCCTTCGACACGGGCCGTGAGAACGAGGACCCATCCCATTGAGGACCTCAGAATGGAAACACACCGCCTACAACAAGTTCAGACCGTGGGAGCAAGTATAAAGTCAAAGGCGGACACCAAACCTCTACCCGAATTTGGTGGTGGAAAACCATATCCTCCCGATCTGCCAGCGCAGGAAGAGTACGTTGTGGAGTTTGATGGCAAAGACGATCCTCTCCATCCTCAAAATTGGCCCTTCAGGCGAAAGTGAGTACGGATCGGCACGACGGAACAGAAGTCACTCATGCTGACGTTGCTCATAGGTTGTACATGGGCGCAATCCTGGCTTATGTCTGCTTGTGCAGTACTTTCACATCCTCTATTTTCTCCGCCTCGACCTTCAGTGTGGCTGCTCATTTCGGAGTCAGTGCTGAAGTGGCCACGCTCAGCACGTCCCTGTACGTCCTAGGGTACGCATTTGGCCCGTTGATATGGGCTCCTTTCTCAGAATTGCGAGGCAAGTGGTGTCAGAACCGAGAGAAGGCCGACATGCTGACACTGTCCAAACAGGTCGAAAACTGCCCATCATCGTTGGAATGTTTGGCTTCTCGGTCTTTTGCTTCGGCTGTGCCACCGCAAAGGATCTACAGACAGTTATGATTACCAGATTTTTCACAGGGTTTTTCGGTTCGTGTCCGTTGGCCGTCGTGGCTGCCGTCTTCGCGGACATGTTCGACAACACACAGAGAGGCACAGCTATTGTCATCTTCTCCTCAATGGTTTTCATGGGCCCGATGCTCGGACCGTTCATTGGAGGTTTTATCAACAAATCTTACCTAGGATGGCGCTGGAACCTGTACATTCCGGGCATAATGGGCTCTGCGGCTGTGTGCCTGGTCATTTTATTCGTTCAGGAATCTTACGCCCCTGTGGTCTTGGTGAGCAAAGCCGCCGAACTGCGCCGCCGAACTAAGAATTGGGGTATTCACGCGAAGCAAGAGGAGGTTGAGGTGGACTTCAAAGAGCTCATCACTAAGAATTTTTCTCGTCCAATTCGGCTCCTGGTCTCCGAGCCCATCATTCTGGCCATCACCTGCTACATGTCATTCATTTATGGCCTCTTGTACTGCTTTCTGACGGCCTACCCTCTGGTTTTCCAGGGTGTCCACCATATCACTCCTGGTGTCGCAGGCTTACCCTTTTTTGGAATGGTCGCTGGGATCTTCATCGTCGCCGGCTATATCATCTGGGATTCCAAGGCCTATAACAAGAAGCTTGCGGCTAATGGCGGAATTCCAGTCCCAGAATGGCGTCTTCCGCCAGTCATGGTCGGGGGAGTGCTGTTTGCCGCTGGTCTTTTCTGGTTTGGTTGGACGGGCTACAAGGCATCAATTCATTGGATCGTTCCGACTCTGTCTGGTCTCTTTACCGGGTTTGGTCTATTGGCTATCTTCATCTGTTGTTTCAACTACATCATTGACTCGTACCTCATGTTGTAAGTCGGACACTCGTCCACGACGTTTTAGTGACGCACATACTGACAATCTTTAGCGCTGCTTCGGCCATTGCAGCAAATACCTTCCTGCGATCGTGTCTTGCGGCAGGATTCCCCCTTTTTGCGCGCCAAATGTTTGATAACCTCGGCATCGAATGGGCTGCCACGCTCCTTGGCTGTGTTGCTGCTCTTTGCGTCCCCATACCTGTGTGCTTTTACTTCTTTGGCAAGAAGCTCCGCCAAAGATCCAAATTTGCACCTACCATGGCGATCCGGAAGCCTGTGGACGAAGAGGGTGGTAGTGAAGAAGAAGAAGAACAGGAAGCCAACATGGCCGCTTTACATGCTACGCGCAGCCGTGCGCACCACGACTTGGAGGTGCGGTCGAGGAGGACTCGCACGAACGGCAGCCTGGGAACGACAACCAGCAATCCCGGACATGATCCAGAGAAAAGTGCATAGCATGCGATTCATTCAGCCAGAGCAAACCAGAGCTATGGATGAAAAGGGGTTCGTTGGCTTTATAGGGAGTCTTCCATTAGCCATGGGGGTGGACATGTCAACAATGGGAACACGGACTGCCTGCTCTCGGTATCGTGGGGGACATCGTCCACAGTATATACAGTCAAAACTAAGCGGAGAATTTCCCGATATGCTGTCTCGCCGCATACGCTCAGGAGCATCGTAGTAGATCGTCGATGTCGGCTTGTCTGGGAAAATTATCGGATTAATTTCGCCCCAATTTCCAGCCCGATGTTTTGGGTACAGGCGGGACGCGGCACCGAGATGAAGCTATATAGTCTTCAGCTTGTTGTCTGTTTCCTCAGCTCCACCTGAGCAGACGGCACTCTTCCAGGTATACAATAACGTATGGGAGTTGATACAAGGTTCGGATGTGCCCAATGTTTATGGAGTTATTCACCCTTCTCTGAAAAAGGAGAAAGGAGACTTTGGTAATTGGAGGTCAGCTGTATCTGACACACCCACCGCACCCTGTCGAGAACGAAGAAAATAACCCGACAGAACAAAGATTCGCAGACCAATTCGCAGACAAAATACTTGTACTCTGTAGTGGTTGATCAAACGGCGGAAGTTGAACTGCCGGGACGCTCTGTGGATGTGAGCCGCATCAGCTCCACCACCACCACAATTGAAACTCTCGATTTCTTCCATCTTCCACGACGCCACGAATCACCGCCTCTCGCTACTCGCAGGATCTCCATCGTCGCGCCACAAGACCGATTCATCTTGACGCAATCATCACTGCTTACGGCATCATCATCACCAAAACTGACAAAGCGCGGAATATCTTCCAGCCTCGTCAATACTGCTCACGTAGCTACAGAGCGTGTGGAGCCACCGAAGAAGCAGCTGTCTACCAGCTTCTAGCCCATCCCATCAGCAAGCTAGCTGAAGTGGTCATCCAATCCTTCCATCACCCCATCACCAAGCATTACCCGATCCAATCTGTTCCTCCCTCGAACCCTCCACTTTTAAGCACCTCTTGTTCACCCTGCGCTGGCTCACTGTTGTGGACCGCCCATTCAAGATCGGGAAGAGAAAAGGGACCAGAGCAAGAACCATGCGTCTCACAGCGCCATCTCAGACTCTCAGATATTTAAACATCAGACCACTTCGCGCGCCGTCTGTCTCTGTCTTTCTTCCACTTCACACGCACTCCCTCAAAACTCCAACTACTACAAATCTTGCAAAGTCAACGGTGCAAGCACGTCTATTCACATCATCGATCAGCAAAATGTCGTCGGAATCGTTTTTGGAAGCTGTCAAATCTCGCCGGTCTTACTATGCTTTGTCGAGTGAGTCTCCGATTCCCGACTCCAAGATCCACGAGATTGTCAACACAGCCATCACAAATGTGCCGAGCTCGTTCAACTCGCAGTCAACCCGCGTGGTTGTCCTGCTGAACGAGGAGCACAAGAAACTGTGGGGTGATATCGTGATCCCCGTCGTCAAGTCGGTCGCTCCCGCCGATGCCTGGCCTGCTTCGGAGAAGAAACTTGAGGGATTCAAGGCGGGCTATGGCACCATCCTGTTCTATGAGGAGCCCAAGGATGTCGCCAAGCTCCAGGAAGCTTTCCCTCTCTATGCAGACAAATTCCCCCAATGGAGTGAACACACCAATGCCATGCACCAGTTTGTTTGTAAGTCATCCTCGCATCTCGTGAATCGCAGTCTACTTTTGTACTTGCGGACTGACAGGAGGAAACAGTGTGGACCGCTTTGGAGAAGGAAGGCTTTGGCGCAAACCTACAACATTATAACCCCTTGATCGACGAAAAGATTGCGGCAACATGGAACGTGCCCAACAACTGGAGCTTAAAAGCACAGCTGGTTTTTGGCAAGCCAGCTGGCGAGCCTTACCCGAAAACATTCAAGCCGCTCGAAGAACGGGTCTTTGTCCACGGAGCCAAGTAATGGATTATATTTGTTTGAGGTCCGACACCTCCGCATTTGCCTCGTGTGATCGGAGTCTATACAGGAAGACCGCTTTAAACCTATGAGAAGCGATAAATTCATTGAGTTTGCTCGTACAAAGAACTGGTTCTTTACCTGACTTGGTTCGGTGAGGATGCGAATTGCATTTACTTTTTCCATTGCTTCCACCCCTCTCTCTCTCTGCGCATGTGGCTCTAGTTGCCCGACTCAAGACAGATGTCGGCCGTGCTCGCGTGGGTATGCGATTGATAGATCAAACCTACTGCACTGACAAAATACTCTAAAAGCGGCTTGGAGTCTTGCTGTAAGTGGTCTATGGCGTGTCCGGACAATCCACCGATGGATATGTGGGAGACGCCGTCGACAAGACCTTGGCAGTCAAAACAATTATACCCTGGAACTCACTGATCTATTGTTTTCGGGGAATTGATCTGTAGACTGGTTGGTTGTTGATATAGAGACCGTAGAGTTGCATGTCAATGACAGACAGGAATTGCTCTATGCAACATGACGGTCGACTGCACTGAAAAGAAGCACTCCGCTTTGTGCCGTACAATTCAACGAAGGCCTTCTTTCTCGCTCCTTGGACAGGTCCGTCACAGTTATGTCACAAATCACCTGACTCGGTCGGTCCTTGGTGCCTCTGACTCCATTTTGAATACTCTTCAGAGAGAACCAACACCATCAAACAGTGCCATTGAAACTGTTCGAAAAACGCCACAGAGACTTGTTCTGGCGCCATTGCGGCCCTTGTTTCCTCGTTTTACACTCCACCTCGCTCCGATCCCATCATATTATAACGCAATTGTCCCCCGAGTTTTCTGGCACCCTGAAGCTTCATCATGGCACGGCTCCAGGATAATGCCCGGGAACACTGGGACTGGGAGAAAAACCCAATCCGCGTTTATACCCCAGACCCGGAAGAGCTTAAGGAGTGGCAACAGAGTCTGCCCTTGAAGTTAGAGGACGTCTTCGACTTCAATAGTGGCCTCCGGGAGGGGGATGTGCCCGAACCTCGCCCTCCACCGCCTCCCAAATGCGATCAACTTGACGAGATCGAAAAGGCAGCGAGCGAAGGAGACCTCTGCACTATACAGCGCATATTCGATCAATTGCGCGGTACACCTGCCGGTGACTACTGGATTCCACGACAAACGAGCAGTCTATTCCGTGCAGTTCGGACTGGTCATACGGCTATTGTCGAATATCTTCTAAGCCAAGGGTCTTCTCCGACGGTTAACCTTGCTAAAATTGCCGTCGACAATAATGATACGGCTATACTTGAGCTGTTCCTCAAGTATGGATGGGATATTAACGAGCAGTTAGGATGGTGTGATCCGCCAGTACTTGGGTAAGTTAATATAAGCAATATTATCCTAAATTATCCTTCTAATAGTAACAGATTTGTGGTTGAGAATGTAGATTTAGCTACCTGGCTCCTCTCCCATGGTGCAGATGCAAATGCTAGATGCGTGTTGGATATAACCCCATAGTCATATGCCGTTCACTCTGCGACGTTCGACGTTAGACGTTATCAAGACGCTCTTCACCCATGGTGGCTCAATTGAAAAGGGACAGCTACTTCACTTTGCTGCCACTCGTAAACTACTAGATCGCCTCGAAGTCGTGGCTTACCTCGTTGACAAGGGTGCACCTATTAACGACGTCATGTATCAGCATGACCAACTTTCAACTGACTTACAATCCGTAGCCGGTCTCGGTACTCCCCTTCATGGGGCGGCTGCGGATGGGTATTTAGACGTTGTCCGATTTCTGGTGGAGAAATGCGCCAATCTCAGTATCTTGGATTCTTGCGGAGAGTCGGTCCTTCATCGCGCCGAATTCCACAGGCGTCAAGAAGTGGTTGACTTTCTTCGTCATATCCTAGCGGAAAGTTCGAATCCGCCTGCATCGACCGAGTCCATGGAATAGCAGGCGGCTTGACGACAAACCAACACGGAACGTTGTATTTCTGTTTATGCAAGGGAGCTGTATTTGAAGGACATTCTTTCCCTTCACGATCGGATGGAGTTTGCGCGAAGAGTATTACTGCGGAGAGATGCGGAATCAACAAGGCCGCTCGAGCTGCGCTGGAACACATTTTTGGGACTGGAGTATAGTTTGTCTATAGGTTACATTGGAATACGAAGCCAGATATTTAGGAATCCAAGGAAGATCTGGAAGTCGAAACCAAGGAGTTTTTGTATATATAAGATGGCAACAGTAGGAAAGTGCAGTCTTTATCTTTGCCAGTTCAGGACAATAGTATCTGTTGCCGACAGAAACGAAACGATCAGTCACGAATCAGAATTCACAGCTGTATGCATACCCATCTGCAGCCTGAAATCGAACAGCCTCTTGTACCGATCTCCGCCCCTTCCCGGGAGAGCGCACGCAGAAAACACACCATCTTCTGTGTTGGACGACTTAAAAGGCCTTCGGGACCCAAGGACTGTTGAACACCCTACCAAATTACACAGAACCAAGAACCCTTGCACCACACCATCTTTTCCTCACCACTACTACAACATACCACTATTGCTCCCTCAAAACCTATTGGCCCGACAAATAACAGACGGGATGGGTGAGTATAGGGCGACAATCGCGAGTAGATTCTTACTGACCTCGGCAGGAACAACGGGGTTTAGAGTGATTCGGAATGATTCGGCGGACTTCTTTTCTCATGGTAACCACATCCCCAAACAAAGCCCCATGGGTGCTCAAGCCTCATTACGCTGCAGTATGAGGTCTTTCCCAATCGGCTAAGGATCTTTTGAGTCGAGCTGCAATAGAGGCGTTCCTGGCTAGTCACTAGTCAACGGGCGCCTCGTATTTCGGATGAGGCTGAGAATGTCGAATTGCGGGGAACCCATCGGATACGGGAATCGGGGAAACTATTCTCCGCACCTTGCCACGCTGCCACGATCCGAACAAGCAATCGAGAACTCGATTGTATTTTTCTCCTTGTATATTCTGTTGTCCATTTTTTGGAGAGCATGAAGCCTGACCTCCCTCGATTCTCCACAGTCATCACCCGAGTTGATACACTCAAAGCATATAAGCTCACCATTGTCCTGCGGACAACAAAAACCTCCCGAAGAGGCCGAAATTTCACATCAGCCACCCACCCCTCGGCTGCGGCTCCAATTCGCCGATAGGGCTCGATCCGATTGACAAATACAATATTACACCCAACTGACCACCATTGAAAGACAATAAAACAGATCCGAGTTCCCCGGCATGTAAGGAGGATTGCTGACTTCTGATTTTGAAATCGAGAAAAGGAATCTGCATCCTGACCATGTCTAAATAACACCCATAACCAACCACACGGCTCGCCAACAAAGGTTGGAGTATTGTACCATGTCACAAACTTACGACTTCCTCGTTGGCACGTTCAACACCCCTGAGCTCTATACCCTGAGATTCACGCCTCCCTTACCCTCCTCGACGGACTCTTCGGGCAGTCTCCAAGTCCTTCACTGCGCCACTGCCATCGGGTCTCACTCCTGGTTGCATCTCTCTCCCACGAAGCAGACTGGGAAGCGGAACCTGTACGCCACTGCATGGACAGAGCCTCCCGCCGTGGTTGCCTATGCCGTCAACTCCCCGACAGATATCCAGCTGCTGGGTAGTGCCCCAACTCGGTCTCGCAGTGGCTATGTCACAGCGAACGAAGTAGCGCTCTATTCTGCGGGCGGAGCTACAGGAGAGGTCTTTAGTCTGGATCGCAAGACAGGCAATATCATCGCACCGGTGAATTCTGGTCATGCTCAAGCCAATGGGGTCGTCAAAGACGGAAGAATCCAACCGCTTCAACTCCTCTCGTTTGTGGACGCAGACGCACAGCGTGATGATGGCAGTGTCATGGACTTTGGAGGACTTCGCCACGGCGCTCATTCCACAGACCTCTCGCCCGACGGTCGAGCCTTTTACGTTGCGGACATTGGGCGGAATTGTATCTGGACATTCTCGGTCGATCCCAGAACCGGAGAGTTGACGCCTGGGGAGAAACACATCTCACCCCGTCCCACAGATGGACCAAGACACGTGTGGCCACACCCAAGCGGAAAATTCGTGTATTGCTTGCAGGAACATACCAGCGTCGTGGACGTGTTCTCCGCCATTAATCACGGGGTCAATCTTAAGCATGAACAAGGCGTCCGAATAATTCCTCTGGAGGAGAAAGCCGAGGACTACTGGGCTGACGAAGTACGGACGAGTATCTCCTCAGGCGACAAGCCAAAGTATTTATACGCGAGTACACGGGGACTGAAGGAGGGCAAGAGGGGATATGTTGCAGTATACAAGCTGACCGACGAAGGCCTGGTCGACACCTCGGTCACTGCCCACCCGTCGTACAGAAAAGCCACGGCAAGCTCTCAGGACGCGGCATACAATTTCGGTGGACTCTACGAAGGCTTGCTGTACTTGTGGGAGACACCTACGAGTGGCGGATGGGCGAATGCGATCCAGCCCGGTCCGACGATTGGCGGAGTAGAGTATCTGGCGCTGACCGATAGTGAGGAGGGATTTGTGTTTGTACTGGGCTGGGACGGTGTCGAGATTAAAGAGGTTGCGAGGACGAAGCTGAACAATGGCGCCGGAGCGGCAACGGCGGTGTGGTTGTGAACAAGACATGGACGGTGGGTAACAGGGCGAGATGTGAGATGAATCTTTCTAAGTGGGACATACGGCAGGCGACCACAACTCCTGGATTTTCAGAGCCAGTCGGATATACGGAGTATGCAATTATCCGGGACAAAAGGCCTGTTTCCCTTTTTCAATCGACGCGAGCCCTACGAGCCGAGACGACTGGGTGGTTTGATCGATGGAGTTGGCCCATTCTCAACATTCGGGGATCTGCACGCCGGAACGTGCCAACAAGTGGTGACAGTGGCGACAGAGTTCCTGCAGGCGGCGGGCCGTGGAACGAGATATGCGAGGATCGTTCGTTTAATGAGTCCTGATTGGGGTTTCGATGGGCGGAGCATGGCCGCGGGCGGGCAGACAGGACTGACCGAAGGTGCCCATCTGACGGGCCATGACAGGCTTGAGAGAGGCACCAGAGACACCAGAGATACCCGAGAGGGCTAGCAATCAGCTTTGTGTTTTGTGTTTTGTTGACTTCTGCACTCATTGACACATTGGATATAGGGTGCTATACGACACGGGAAGCCGAGGAATAGAGAGGCCACTTACCCATGAACTCATTCATATCATACCATGTCAATATTTACTACTAGTCAGCAGAAGAATGACGAGGGGTCTTAGCGAGGACACATGGACACATGGGCACATCGGATATATACACAAACTCGGTACACAAACTCGGTACATAGATTTAGGTAGCCCTTAGACAATTTGAATGTAACTTATACATAAATAGATATATACCCCTCCATTCCTTTTTCTATCTTCTCTCTGAACTCGACCATGAGGCAGTCAGTCACAGGAAGCCACAAATGTATACTTTGTTCCAGTGGATAGTCAAGTTCAACGCTCAACTCGAGCTACGCGTGTATTTATGTGCTGAATATATTTGAGCTCGCTGTACTCACTGCACCCACTATACCCACGATACCTGGTACCTCGTACCTCGTACCCGGTACCCCGTCCCCTGTCTTCCTTAAAGGGTTATTTCCCTCTCTCGCTTCGTCCTCGCTGGTCCAGATCACGATCACGGTCACGATCACGGATAAATTATCAATTAGCGGGCGAGGAATCGCCGATTGCACCCTATATTTTGCCAGCTTGACCACTGACCAGGTACCCAGCCCTACTTACCTACCGAAGTAGGTAGAAACATACGAGGTATCAATATGCACGAGGAAGGTAATGCGGTACATGCCTACTTGGGTACCAGGCCATGTACCAGATGGAGAGATGGAGGGATGGACCGATATAGATGAGTAGATGTTAGCGACACCACCACCTCCCTCCCCCCCTCTCTCTCTCTCTCATTTTTGTTTTCGATACCATCATATCACACCATCTGTACCTCTTACCTCTTACCACCTCTCGGAGGTACAGTATCTAACCCCCCTCAGATTTTCGCAGATCCGGATTTTTTTTTCTTTTCTGTTTTTGGGAGTCTTACAAGGATTGGTGGAGATTAGTCACCATCACCCATTTCTTTTTGGCGTCGTTTCGTTTCAGTTCATCCTCTCCTGCTGCGTCTGTGCGTCTGTGCTTCTTTGTCGGTGTGTATGTATGTGTACGTGGATGTGGATGTGTGTATTTGTCACGACTTACGACTATTACGAACCCCCGATCCTATTTAGCTGGGGAAGGATTCACACACTGTCAAGGATTCAGGGATCCAGGGATTCAGGGTCCCACCTACAGCTCGCATCCCACAAAACCCGAAGTTTGCGAGAGGTTTACCAGTGAGAGGTACAGCGCCAACTCCTGTTTCTGGCAAAGTCTCGGGCCCCCACCTTACCGATTAGCTAGCCAGCCAACAGCCCGCCAACCCCCGAAATCCTTCTCCGAAGTATCCAACGGAGACGTACCAAGGGCTACCGAGGACGCGGGGTTGTGGAACGAAAGCGTATGTATTTGTGCTATGGGGCCTTTCTTACAAAGTATTTAGGTACCCAGAAAGAAGAGGAGGAGGGGGGAGGAAGAAGGAGGGGACGACAACGACAACGACGACGACAACGATAAACAACACACGCATACTGAGCAGAACTCACCGTGGCTGTCGAGTAGACCTGAAGAGATAGGATAATGGTCTTTTGAACTACGAAAGGAGGACGAACATGCCCGTCGAGAGAAAACCTTTCGAGGGCGACTTCTTGTTCGTCAACCACAATGCAAAGCAGATGAAAGCTTCACCGAACCGGCGACAGGTCTTTTCCCACGTCCAGAACCAATATCGCAACTGGAAGCGGCAGCAGGAGAATCGGGCTCTGAGGGCTTCGATCAAGGCGCTGCCGCACATACCTGATGCCTCGCCATCGGCGTCGACATCGACATCGTCAGAAGTTCCTGTGCTTGATGTTCGGCATACCTCAACTGTCAAGAGCGCTGAGCATGCGCAATGGCCAGAGCCAGTAGACTACGATGTTGGAAACCAGCAGCGAACCTCAACCAAGATTGCGATCCGCTCGCTGATCAACGACAATGACGACGACAATGACATGGATTACCAGCAGCAGCAGCGTGAGCACCTCCCAGAGCGGGCAGAGCAACTGGTGGCAATTTACAACGAGGCGGACACCAAGCCACTCCAACGGCAATCACTGATGACCATCCTCGGCAAAGGAAACTCAGACCCCTTTGGAGCCTATGCCGTCGATATCACCCCTGCTGCCAACGACTTGCTGAGCTTCCACCGCGACTTTGTCATCCCAGCTCTCTACCACACCACCAAGCACCGGTGGATGACCAGTGCCAGTGCGTGGCGGGACTGGCGGGACTGCATCGACGGACTGGGTGACGGGGTCGATGGCCTGGGGGATGAAGGCGCCGGGTCTGGGTTCATCGCCAGCTGCGCCACCGAGGCCGCGGTGATATCGCTGAACCCGTCTGTCCGGAAGCAAGCCGCCTACTACCGGGCGAAGAGCATGGCGGTGCTGCATAAACGCCTCATGACCGGCCGATTCAACCGCCGCCAGCTCTACTGGCATATCAATCTGCTTGTAGGTACCGACACACTGACCGGGGACCTCGTCAGCACCGGCGCCCACCTCAATATGCTGCGGTGGTACTTTGAACACGACGACCAGGAGAAGCCCGTCGACACGGACCTCTTGGTGTACATTCTCTACCACGACGTCCACCGGTCGTCCATGTTCCTGTGCAAACCCATCTTCGACGTGGACAACTGGCTCCCGCAGAGGCTGCAGCCCGTGATCGACGCAGCGGGCCCCTACCTCCCCCCGAATCTGTCGGACGTGAGAAGGCGTTTTCTCGACCCGTCGATCGACAATCCCCGACTGCGCACATTACTGATCGAGCGGCGCGAGAGCCTTGCGGTGTGGCTGTTCCAGAACGGCTCTGGCCTGGGCACCACCGACGAGGACTCGTCCGCCAGCCACACCACCGCGGCGCTGATGGGCTGGCTGCTCGTGCGCGTGTACTTGCACCAGGGCCAACTGGTGAACCTCTTCTTGCAGGCAAAGGAGGCAATAGATGTACGGAATACGAATACCTCGGAGACTCCACGGTCCGTCAACTCGGTCTTGTGCCAGGGCTACCTCGCCCTGGCCACGCTGCTGTACATCCGCGCCATTTCGTTCAACGGGACCGTGGGCGGTGTGCGCCTCTTCGACGCCACGCCTACCATTCTGGCCAACATGCGAGAGTTGCTCCAGCTCAGCGAGCGGTCGCCTGACACTGTGCCCGACCACGAAAAGTACGAGAACGCCCGTCTCTGGGCACTCTACGTGGGCGCCACTGCCGAATCGTCCATGGACACGGACATGAAACTCGAGGAAGAGGAGGCGCGGCGCGCTGGCTGGTTCACAACGCACTTAGCCACAAAGGCCATACGACTGGGCCTGGTCCGGTGGGACGATGTAAGGAATATTCTGATGGGATTTCTGTATACGGACACGATGCATCCGGACGGGATGGACTGGTTTTCCAGGGTTCTGCAGAGCACGGCGAGGACCAATTGACGTGTCAGGTGTCTAGGGCTCACGACCTAAGTCACGGAATAGTACCGGGAAGTGAAGACCTGTAGTAGGTCATGCATGACTATTGCGGCTGAGCTGATACATACAGAGGAGAGACAGGGTCGGAGTTACACATGTTGGGCCGTCCAAAGCAATGTAATGACTGCCACGCTATCATAGGCTCTCGGAGGTAGTGGGTGCCTACCTAGCGAGGATGGGAGGTTAGATAATACCCACGTACCCACGTTATCTAATTAGTATATAGTACCGAGTATTCGGATCTGAAGGCAAACGACTCTCTACCAGGGAGACGAATTCCAAACGATGCTATATGGATCCAAGGCCGTGTACCCTCGGTACTGAACCTCATGGCAGCATCCTCGCTGTTATTTGGCGGGGTTGCACTGCATAGCATGGTCGTTTGAGTTCCCGACCCAAATAGAGCGTCCTTGCTGGAGAATTGCTGCCATCACATCAGCCATCGTACCCGTCATCACTCTAGCTTTCAGCATCTTTCACAAACTACGTCGCAACGATTCATACCTACAGAAGGTGTGTGCTTCCAAAGTTCATTGGATGCATTGATGCCGTCGGATTCCCTAAAGAGTGATGGGAGAAGTACAGGGGAACATTGGTTGGCCTCGGCGGCAGGATGGAAAACCAATCTGCCATTGTTGTACGCTGAATCATCCAAAGAGGTCCGGTAAGGAGGAGCTGTTCGCAGTACAGGCGTTATGAAGTCATTTATCGCACTTCAGAGAAATGTGGGAGCAGATGAATGCATGACCTGGAGTTTAAAGCGGATGTTGACGGCGCAGAAACACGAGCATCTGTGATGATATAGTGTCACCATAGCACTACTTCTCTCTGCGTTTCCCCTTCGTGACTGCCTTTTTGTGGCCCTCCAGAGCGAGGTTTGGAGACGTTGTTCAACCGTTCCTTTTCGCGCCGGCACGTTGTCTGCACGGTAGATCGCGGTAGGCCGTGCCGGTCTGCGATGAATTTGTACGAGTAGCCGAGACTGTGGAGTTCACAGATCTGGAACGCAGTTGAGGTGTTAGTTCGCGACGGGGAGGCATCGTGATGTCTGGGTGGTAGTTCGGGAGTTGTTGAATGGAATGGTAGAAAAGAATACCGAGCGAGCTAGGTAGGACGCGAGACTGTACCCGCGTACCCAGCGAGTCGGTACTAGGAGGGGAGGGGGTGTTGTTGTCTGCGATTGGGGGAAGGTCAGCCGCGATGCGGGCTTGTGTTCGCTCTGCTCAGAAAGTGGATTTGCGCATCGAAGTGCTCGCAGATCCAAACAGCTTCCGTTCTTCTTCACCAGGCTTGGATATTTGGTTGCAACTTTGACCCAGGAAGTTTGCAAAAGTCCCAAGGCGGCATTGCTTGAGATGCGACCAAGCTACAGATAATACGTACAGAACTTTCAGTCGGCTGGTGCTCAGTACATACGGAACACACAGACTACTGACCGTACACTATTTCCTCTGGCTGTGCCTTTGTTGGTCATATACCCTTTTACTATCTGTCGCATACTTTCCTAGACTTCTGTCAGCTCCAAAGGACCGATCACTGCCAGGAGATAAGTTCCCTGCGCTGAACCTCAAGTACCTTTCCGACATCTCGACCTATCGAGTTTCACCCAAACCCAACGAACCTCTATCCCTCACCATGTCGCGCTCGCCGACCCCCCAACCTGCAAAAACGACGGTGGATCGGCAATCCACCACACCTTTCCTGCTGAACTTTTGCTACCGATCCTCCGCCTTTCACAGCCTGACCGACTTCCCTATCCCGACCCCCTCAAACCCGCACCCTCACCTACCTGCCCATCTGCAAATCTACACGTGGATGAGCTGTACGTTGAGAGAACTCGCGCTCCTGTTGACGCAGGCCCTGCCGCAAATCTTACCCGACCCGGCCGTGGGGACGAGGTTGAGCTTCAGACTGGTCTACCCGGACGTCCACGCCAGTCGGGGTGGTGGTGGGAGACTAGAAAGCGAAGGGAGAGGAAGATACTTGAGCAAAGAGATCGGCAGTGTGGTGGTCTCGGTGCCAGAATATTCCAATGGTGGTGGTGACGGGCGTCGCGGTGGCGGCGCTGTCCAGCTCGAAGGAGATGACGCAGACAAGACTCTGGAAGATGCACGGTTTGTCATAGGAGACTTTATCGATTGTGCCGTCTTTCCTCCGCTGAGCGATGGCACCGTTGTGTCTCGGGGAAGCGTCGGCGGCAGAGGAGGCTCCAGAGAGAATGGCTACGGAAGAGTGCGAGGCGGGTACGGCCAGAGCAGCAGGGGCAGCTTTAACGGCTACGGATCAAGAGGTGACTTTTCTGGCTCAGGGCATATACCAAGCGGTGAGTGGAGGCGAGGAGAACGGCTTCCTGACTCTGGTGGCTACCGAGGCGGAAGGGGTGCTAGGAGAGGCTATTGAAGCCGAAACCAGCCTTCAAGTAAAAGGACATTGATCGGGTGACATGGGCGAACTATCGCCCATTGCAAACTGGTCCGCCACAGAGGAACGAAATACCTCTTGAGGATGCTCTTGGGAAGGTGTCTCGATTGCCAAAATCTCGGCTGCATGACCGACACAGAGTACCAACCCTCCAACAAACGGCGGACTGTTGTGATGGAGCATTTTTAGTCATGTGAAGACACCAAATTTCCACACGGTGCGTTCCAGGCAAGGTACCTTTCTCAAGGTACTCGGTGTGTTCCACAGGCAGGAAATGTTTCCTTTTGAGGAGATATAACCATCTCAATCGGTCCTCAAAAGAAGAAAGTGAGGCTCCGGATGCAGGTATCAGCCTTCCGGGACTGCGGTGAAAGAGCTGGGCTTGTCTGCGTCAAGGTCTAGAACAATGAGGGCTGAGAGACTTGCCCACTCGGAAGATGAGCGAGCACGCAAGCTACGGTGAGATAACCTCGTAGGAGCAGCGAGAATGGAGCTCTCGCAATCTGCTACTCGTATCTCTTTCACCGCCATCTTGGGCACAAATCCTCACGTGGTCCCGTTGATACGCTGTTGACAAGGAGAAAAAGGAATGGGATGGGGATGACGTAGCCGCGGACCAATGGTTGAGCTGTTGAACCAGCAGGACATGCTGCCGCTCACCCAGGTACCACCAAAAGCCTATAGGAGCCTAAAGCTCTTAGCCCTCCAAGCCCGAAAGCCACCTGGGCCGCCAGAACCACACCCCCCAACTTTCCGGAGCTTTTGAGTGGCTGTGGCGTCTTCCCCAGCTTCGAACACGCCCCCACCATTCACCGTCCGGCGCCAATCGCTGCCCACCGGTGCCCGATCTCTCATGAGCATGTCTTCCCATAAACAAAAAACTTATCAGGGTGTCACATCCCACCCTGCACTCTGACGTTCCTCCCAGTCTTAAACACCACCACCGTATCTCTTTACTGCAAATTTCTTCTTTTGTCCTCACTTATAGACTTCATCTTCATCTGTCTCCTTTCGTTATTCTGGACTCGACACTTGACTACTTACCACAACGTCAACATGGGCAAAGTAAGTTCATGTCTCACCGACTCGTCTACCCTCCCTTACCCCTCCATCTCTCAAACAGGGCGGTTTACCGCTGGTTTTCTTGCCACCGCACCACAAAACAAAGCCTGTCATCAAAAACTGACTAGATACCTCGTTATAGGTCAAGTACATCCTCCTCGACTGCGACAACACTCTCTGCTTGTCCGAGCGCCTTGCGTTTGAGGCCTGCACCGATCTCACCAATGAACTCCTCGAGCTGTACGGCGTCAAAGAACGCTACACGGTCGAGGGCCTCCTCGAAGCCTTTGTCGGTCAGAACTTTCGTGGTATGATGGTTGGTCTCCAGAAGAAGCATGGCTTTGAGATGCCCCCAGACCAGTTGGAGGAATACGTCAACAAGGAACTTGGAGCCGTCACCGCCAAACTCGCTGCCAAGTGTCAACCATGTCCTGGTGCCCCTGAGGAGTTGGAGCGTCTACACAAGGCCGGGTACCCTATGTCGGTGGTCAGTACCTCTGCCAAACCCCGTGTCGTCGCTTCTCTCGAGAAGGTCGGCATCGACCACTATTTCCCCAACGCCCACGTCTACAGCGCTGCCACCTCGCTCAACCCACCTTCCAGCAAGCCTGATCCCAAGATCTACCTCTATGCTTGCGAACAACTCGGTGTCAAGCCAGAGGAGTGCATCACCGTCGAAGACAGCAAGAGTGGTGCTACCGCTGCCATGCGCGCTGGCATTCCCTGCATTGGCTACGTCGGCGTCTACAAGCTGGAGGATGGTGAGGAGAAGATGAAGCAGATGGCCCAGATTCTCAAGGAACAGTGCAACTGCGTCGAGATCATGTACGAATGGAAGGAATTCCCCAAGATCTTGGAGAAAATCGAGAGCGGCAACTGAATTTGACCTCCTTTGTCGATTCTGGATGAACCGTCACGACCACCACCGGGTGATGAGACGACGAAAACGGAGCATGCGGATACTGTAAACGACCTTCCAAAAAAGAATTGAGCCCAGAGTGAGGAAAGGATAGACAGAGAGGAAAGCGGCCTTTGCGCGACACGTTCTTAGCTAGTCCGCCCTAGTGGAGGTCAGCTCCTCAAGACATCTGACCTAGACGCCCTCGTTTGGCCTGGAATAGAAAATGGACTTCTTGATACAAGAAATGATGACATAGATTGGGTTCATGTGTTTTCCGACATTCGGATCTTCTCAACTAACCGTCCGACCATCTCCCTCATCACGTGCTTCTCTCCCGAGTAATCCATATCGAACCAGTAGTTGACCGCTATACAGGGCGCCGTCGTCGGGCTTCCGTCGTCACTCTCCCAGAGCCCGCATTCTTGGGTGACGTGGTGGAACCATCCCGCTGGGAGGTAGAGGATTTCGCCCTCCGAGACGGTGACAGTGAGAGGTCGCGTGTATTTGTAGTATGGGTATTTCTGGGACGCGGCGGCAGACGGGGGTGAGAGCGGATCGATGGGGATCCAGGGGATACGGTTCATGTCTGCGTCGTCGCCGCTGTTGGGATCTGAGGTGGTGGTGGTGGTGGTATTGTCGTCGTCGTCGTCGTCGTCGTCGTCCATGACAATCGTAAACTCCGTCTCCTTTTTCTGCCGTTGTGAATCCGACAGCACCCACCGGCCCGTCCGGACTTTCTGGGCGTGTAGACACACCTCCTCGACGGGACTGTACAGCACGAACCGCTTCCGGCCCTTGACCACTACGTAGAGATTCTCGTACGGGTCGCGGTGCGTGCTGGTCACGGACCGCGCGTTGCCGATCCAGATGTTGACGGCTTCGGGATCGCCGAGCACGGCGGCGCTGAAGGGCGGTGGTGTCGGTGGGAGGGAAGCCAGAAGGGAGGAGAGCGGTGGGGTGTGCAGGTTGGAATTCTGGGATTGGAGGTAGTGGGCTGGTTCTGTTGTTGTCATTGCTGTGGCTGTGGATGCAGATGTGGATGTGGATTGGTATTGGGGCGGGGATGAAGGGGAGCAAGCCGAGGGAGGAAGATGTGATGAAGATTGTGATGGCTCTAAAGGAGGACAGAGCTTGTCAATCAGTGTGGAAAGCGTCATGTACGTCGAGGCTGGTTGGAGGAAGACTTGTTCTAGTTCATCCCCATCCGCTTCTCGTTGAGGGTGAGACTGAGTCCTCGTCCTCCGAGGAAGAGAGTAGAGTGCATCTGCCCTCCCGTCCGGCGTCACAGCGACCTCAACCTCGCCCTGTACAAGCTCGCAGAGACTCTTTTTCGTCCACGCAAAGCACGGCGCCGAGAGTATGGACCGCTGCTCATCTCGCAGGCGTTGACGTTGAATGCTCTTCACTGTTATTCGCGGCGACGAAACCTTTGCGATCTCACCTCCGCTATTGTCATTGTCGTTGCCGTTGCCGTTGCCGTAGTTTCCATCCTCGACTTCACTCGCTCCACTCACCGCGCGATCATCGAGGACGCTCCTGTCAAGCCGATATACGCACGGTCGCCCGCGGGCTACCTGTTGGCTGAATTCGAGGTGTGTTGGGTATTCATAAGTCGGGACTGTGGTGTCTGGATTGAACGAGTGGTAGTCCTCGATCAGAGTGAGGAGGGTTTCAAGAGAAAAGTCCTTTGCGCTGCCACCACCGCTGCTGTTTGCAGTCGTCATCGCTTCAAGTCGACAGCGAGGCCTTCCTCTGGCGGCATGTCCATGAAATTTTTGATTGGTAAGAAATCGTCAACGAAGGCTTCTCACGTTCTGTCAAGCCCGAGACTTGGATCCAACGATCCTTTTCTCCGTCTATAGTAATGCCGCTGTATCATACGAATTTCTACACCTCTGTGAACCCCCGATATCGAAAACAGCTCTTTCAATGCCATTGCTGAAAGAAGACCACATCAACAGACCCAGGTCAACGAAACTCGATTTCTGCCGAAGTCTCTCCGAACACTGCAGCCGCGGTCGCTAATGCAAAATTATATCCAAGTCCCTTCGAAACTCTCGTTGCCCCACGTCTTCCGCAATGAGCTGCTGCATCTTCCAACTGTCGTGGGGTCGACTCGTTGACCATGTGGAGAAGGAGGTGGTCTTCAAAAACCAAGAGACAGGCAGGCTGAGAACACACTATTAACGCCTCGGGTACAACTTTGACTATGAAGGCCTGAGAAGTCTTCTCTGTACTTCTCGACCTCAACACGTCCGCGAAACTCGCTGATGACAACCAATCCTGGCTTGAGCATCCACAACGCTTTCCCTACATTGAGGTCTCCGGCTGGGTGACGTCGTCTTAAGAGACAAAATGGGGTTTCGACAGGAGAGTGATTTCAGACCAGCTATGGCATCTCAACATGTTGATTCCTCGTCAACTTACCCAGTCGCCATCATTGGAGGCGGCCCGACTGGTTTATCCGCCTCAATCCTGCTATCGCAAAGCAACATCCCCCATATCCTTTTCGAACGATATCCTTCAACATCCATCCACCCAAAAGCATGTGGCTATAATCACCGCACAGTGGAGATTTGGCGTCGCATGGGAATCGAAGAGGAGCTGATCAGGCGACGAGCCCCATCAGACAATGTCAGCAGAACAGCCTGGTATACCAGCTTTGGACCTCACGGAAGGGAAATCATTGGCCGTGACTCCTGGGGCGGCGGAGCATACAAAGAAGAATACGCCTCTGCCTCGCCTTGCCAGTATTCAATATTGCCACAAATCAGACTCGAACCGATATTGCAGAAAAAGGCGTTGGAACTGAACCCCAAAGGAATTTTCTACAATACCGAAGTTCAAAAGGTTGAGGAAGCTGATGATGGTGTCGTTGTCACGTATCTACAGAGAGGCCTGGAACCGATGACGGTCAAAGCACAATATGTTATTGGTGCCGACGGTGGCCGCATGCTGACAGATCACCTGGGGATAGGCTGGGAGGGCGAGCGGGATATTGTTGATATGGTATCCGCTCACGTTCGAGCTCCTATATCTCTCGCACACCCTGATATCCGCAACTTCATCACCTGGTTTGTCAACCCAAAGCTGGGTGGCACCATTGGTTCAGGATACCTTTACCACTTAGGCCCCTATCCCATGACGCCTGACACAGAGGAATGGGTCTTCGCATGTGCTCTTAGCCCGACAGATCCAAAACGTCTCGATGAGTCGACAATGTTGAAGCGCATGCAAAATACGTTGCAGATTCCTGACCTCAAAGTTGAGCTACTGTCCACAAACCACTGGTACGTGAACGCGCTATGTGCTACACAATATCGTAGCAAGAAATGCACAGGCCGAGTATTTCTGGTTGGGGACGCCGCGCACCGCATTCCTCCTTGGGGGGCATTGGGACTTAACACGGGCATTCAAGACGTGGATAATCTGGTGTGGAAGCTGAATTTCGCCATCAACGGAATCCCGCCAGCCATCGGGGTGGATAGTGACTGCAACGCACTCCTCGATACGTACGACACCGAGCGTCGACCGATTGGTCAACGTGTGCGAGACCGCGCCTTGCATAACCTACAAGCTTTCGGCCTGGTCATGGACAAAGCCATCGGCGTCTCTGCTGCGAATAGCCAAAGCGAAAATGTTGCAAATATGGATTCGTTCTTTGATTCGTCGCCCGAAAATACAGACGGTGCGCGGCGCCGAGAAGCAGTCCGGCGCGCGCAGAAGATCCTCGACAACGAATTCCACGCCCTGGGAGCCGAGATTGGCTGGTTCTATCCCGACATCGATGTCAGCGGGGAAGGCAAAGAGCATAACCACGGCGGACAGCTCACGGACACTGGCGAGATGGATTTATTGTTCTACCATCCCTCGACAATTCCGGGACATCACCTGCCACACGCGTGGTTGGCCAAGGGGAAAGAGAGGTTGTCGACTAGAGATTTAGTCAAGTACGACAGATTCATCCTTATTACCTCAAGGCCGGAGTTGTGGAGACTGGCTGTGGAAGAATTGAATGGATTGGTGACCTTGATTGGCATCTCAGATACGAGCGAAGTGGCAGATAAGACTTTCTGGAAGGATATAGATGGGAAATGGGCCTCTCAACGTGGTGTTGGTAGCTCTGGCGCAGTGCTGGTTCGTCCTGACGGGATAGTTGTCGGGCGGGCGCAAGAATTCGGTCAGGACAGCCACGGTAAGATTGGATGGCTGCGAGATGTCCTGCGCAAGGCTTTCTGCGTTGATAACTCACCTTCATAGATGAGGCTGGGTGCCTAAATTACCCCGCATGACGCTACCAGAGCTCTTGATCTTGCTGACAATGGAGCTGTTCTATGCCTGACCAATCTCTCTCCAGTTAACCACTTCCCAAAGCAACGTCCTCGATCACACTCGCTTACCAACAACAGACATGCAACTCGTCAATTATGCAGCCTGGATTCCCTCTGAGAATGCCCATCTTGTAGTCGCCACGGCACCTTTTCCGGATCTCTCGCCCGATGAGCTCGTCATCACGAACCGCGCCGTAGCTGTCAACCCGGTCGACTGGAAGATCCAGGCGTCGGGCGGCTTCGGTCTCCAGTACCCGGGGATTCTGGGAGAAGACATCGCTGGTGAAGTTCTGGAGGTCGGTAAGAATGTGAAGCGGTTCAAAAAGGGCGATCGCGTCATTGCGCACGCGCTGGGACTTGGAAACGGGAGTGCCTATGGCGGGTTTCAACTCTATCCACGGGCCAAGGTTGAGACGGTCGCAAAGATTCCTTCCAGTATAGAGTTCCAGACCGGAGTGGTGCTGCCGTTGAGCATCTCGACGGCAGCCGCTGGGCTGTACCTGAAAGGGACGCTGGGGCTGGAGTATCCCAAGGTTGCGAACACACTGGCAAATCAGACGTCGACACTGGAGAGGAAGAATACGTCTGATAATGCGGGAGAAAGGACCAAGAAGAAGGCCATTCTCCTCCTCTGGGGCGGGTCATCATCGGTCGGCTCGTCGGTCATCCAACTTGCTGTGGCTTCTGGCTATAACGTCGTCATCACGGCCTCGCCAGCAAATTACTCCTACTGCAAAGACCTCGGAGCCTCACTCGTGCTCGACTACCACAACCCCGACGTCGTGTCGATACTTGTATCGTTGCTCAAAGAGCATGGGGTGCCTGTCGTGGGCGCTTATGACGCCATCGGAACTGACGCGACTGTCCGACAATGCGCGGCGGTGCTGCACGGTCTAGGTGGTGGTACGGTAGCGAGCGTGGTATCTACACCTTCAGATCTCCCTAAAGATGTCAAAGCCGTGAGAATTTCGAGTACCGACGTCGTGGGCCAGGAGGGGGGTGCCGTGGCAAAGACCATATGGGGAGAATATGTGCCCTCGGCCTTGCAGAGAGGGTCATTCAAGGCGGCGCCTCCAGAGCTCGTGGTGGGACATGGGCTGTACTCTGTCCAAGGTGGCCTTGACAAGCAGAAGAGTGGGGTGAGCGCGCAGAAGGTTGTTATAACGCTATGAGTGAAAGGCAGAAGTCGAGCATCTGCTGGCACGTGGCTGGTTCGGTGCGACATGCTGTTTTGGATGTAACCACCGATGCCTAACCTCATTTAAACGGGGCTAGCGACAAGTTAGGAACAATAGCCGGAGGCGGGGAAAGCGGGGCAAGCGAACTCCCTCCGTCACGATCGTCTCAAAAGGGCAGCCACGAGGCACCTATTCTTACCAAGCGAGGTTCAGGGCGAACTTGAGGGCATTCTGCCTGGTTGAAAGATACAAATTTCACAGCTGTGTGGGAAAATGCGGAAATAACAGATTCTCCGAGTCCCAAAGTTAGCCTGTTCTAGGCCCCAGGACGAAGCCGACCATTTGTGCCGGTGGTTTGCCTGCGCCCTCTTTGTTTCAGCTGCAGTGCACGTCACCATTCAGACTTGCGCCCTTCCTCCAATTGAGCGGATCCCCCAGGAAAGGAAGTAACGACACGAGGCGCCAAGGGTCCTCCAGCAGGAAGGAAGCCCTGAGGCAACTCGCGCCTGACTAGAATAGGATAGGCGTGCCTCGTGACCACCAGCTCAGATGCTCGATATGAACGTGGACATCCCGTCTGGCGTTGCATTACCAACCTCATCCCAAGGGAGCCGATTTCTTGGTCCATTTCATACACCATTTGCTTCTGCGGCACACCCTAATCTCGAGCATCATATATCTCGGACTCCGAATACCATTCTTTGGTTGCCCAAATCAATACCTTTGCCTCATGAGGTTGAACATCCGCGCGACCGTGCAACGACCTCTCGCGACTCTAGACCATGATAGTCCACATATCCAGAGGAATTGTATCTTCTGACCAGACCTGTCGACCGACTGTCAATCCATGCAACGGTTGTGGGCTCCAGATCCATCAGGGACCATCAATCCAGCGAAACTTACACAGCGCGCTGTGGGAGTCACTCCGCTTATCCATGAGGATGTCGATGTCTTGTGTAACCCACCTCCAATTGACGCGCAAGAAACGACAAATGCTACAGGCCAAGATGATCTTACAACCTCATCTACATTGCCTGCACCGTCAATACCTCGCCCGTCCATTCCCCTTCCTCGAATCTGCTCTGACTGGGAAGGCTATGACACTTTCCTGAGCGAAAGTGAAAGATACCAGGAGTACAGGCTAAGGTTTGAGGCCCTTTATATCCCCAAGAAACGCCCTTCTACTGCGAGGTCGAGATGCATCTCCCATCATGGCTATTTCCGCAGTCAGACGTGGCGTGGGAAAAGGTTACATATACCCCGGGATCCCAAGGCAGGCTTCGACGCGACGGTCGTGATAGATCGGGGTAGAATGTCGATTTATGACGTTTACCTTCTGCGAGTCGACATCATGAAGAACATCAACTCCTTCCGAAGACACCAGGTATGTCAAGGCGCAAAGGCATTGTCTTGATGGAGGCAGGCTGGCTTATGAATGTGTCACTGGACAGGTTGTATACTACCCGGAAACTGAAACATACGCCTTCTACACTCGTGAAGGTCGCGTTGGACTCGAAGGGCGCGGAAGAGTCGAAATTGAATCTAACTGCTTCACCACTGTCGCTGACAGGTTTCGCAAGTCTTTTCATGACGAGACATACTCGAATTGGACCAGAAGGTACGAAGCTCTGTTGAGGTGCTACCGGAAATATGCTTTCGTTGAGCTCGATTACCACAAGACCACGGCCTCTCTTTTAGAGCTCCCCACGTACACGACGATCAATGCGAAGGTCAATGAGGAGGTCAAGGATTTGATGGAGTACATACTCTTTGGAGGCCCAGCGAGCAGTCGACCCACCAGCAGCGAGAACCCAAGCGCGTCCCGATCATGGCTAGCATTTACGGCTCCGTACGAGCAGCTCAGTTCGTGGGCAGTCTTCTCAGCATTCAAGACTTTAGAGTATATCCGTAAGCACATCGAGTCCGGCAATGCCATCAACTGGATGACCATACTCAGGCTCTCGTCGCTGTACCGCAGCCAGATTCCGTTCTGCTGCGCTGAGGACCGCCCCCCAGTGATCTCAAGCTACCACGCGCTCTTCCTCGAGGCGAAATTTCTGTACTGCCTTTGGCCGCAACAGGAGATCGCTGCCATGGCGAAGGCAATGCACTGCCGGGGATCCCTGCAATTGGATACGCATAAGACTCTTGCCCAGCCTCTGTACCAGGCTTATAGCTCTCTGCGGCACGGGTTCCGCCGCCTGACGGACTCGTCAACCACGGAGTTCCGTCAGCTAAGAAACTATCTGGAGAGATCGTGCCACCACATTCACTGCTTGAACGTGGAGCTAGAGGACATATACAGGCTGTTCGTGAAAGCCCAGCTGCCGAACCCGTACCGCGACTGGATCGAGAGCAAGCAGACGGTCTCTGACCCATCCGGTTCTGAATTGCGGGTGCTACTGTGGCACGGGACGGCGCTGGACTCGCTGCTCGGTATCCTGGAGCTAGGCCTGCAAGTCCGCCGCCCGGGAGCTACATGGACGGGCACCATGTTTGGCAATGCTATCTACCTGGCCGACGCGTCGAGCAAGTCTGCTGGCTTCTGCAAGTCCGACGCCTGGGGTGGCCAGGGCATCCTACTCCTTTGCGAGGCTGACATCGGTGGGGGGCTCATCCGCTCGACGACCAGCATCTACAACGGCCACGAGATCATCAATCAATCCGGTGGTCGATACCGCTGCATCCAGGGGCTCGGCCGCACAGGTCCATCCAGATGGAGAGAGGTTGATTGGGAGTTGGACCCGCCCTTGAGTGGCCGCGTGCCCTTGATTGTACGTGGCTCCTCTGTTTCGTAATAATAGTGCATCCTCCCAGGTCTAGAGACTACTGAAAGACGCGATGGGGTAACTGACTTTGTCCACTAACACCTCTGTAGCCCGAAACGAGAATTCCTTATGGTCACACCCACTCTCGAGGCATCTTGGGATTCAACGAGTATGCTCTTTACGATCCGTCGCACGTGCTGTTGCGGTACCTGTTCCGAGTCAAGATTAAGCGACGATTTCACTAGCAGCCCCTTCTCCGGGGAAGGCCTGGACGATTATTGTTTATTGTTGACAATTTGAACGAGTGGCATTAGACGTCTTATGGAGGCCTCGTAATGTTCAGTAGGCGAGTTTCAGGTCTTGTCCGAGTGTGATGAACTCTTTTGGGGTGGTGATCGAGAAGGTGACTGGTTTCATCTTACTGGAGTCCTCAAAACGTGTGGGATCGTTCTGGATGGAATAGGGCTTTACAGTACCTTAGTGCTTTGACGGAGGTGTACGGGATTGGTTCAACGGTTCATGGGGTCATCACTGGCAGGCGGTAGGCTATTTTTCAATTGATGTTGTTCCTTGAAAAAGGGGTTACAATATAATACATTGAACACACATAAACGATCGAGGCTATGCCGTGAGTTATATATCTAGGCTGTCTCGTAGAAGAGGCTAGAGCGATCGCCTCACTCATTCCACCGGTTGACCATGTTATATGTCTACAACATGGCCGGGTCAGCAAGTCAGCGAGTTCGTAACTCGGTGATACGATGATGAGATGATATCCATACCCCAGTCTCCTCTGCCGACTTCTTGTATTTGAGTCATATGACCATACCAGCCATACGAGCCATATAAGCCTTTTGCGCCATATATCCAAGTCGAGAGCGACACCTCTTCTTTTTACCTTGTCCCCCTGTATGGGCCGTTTGCTCCGGGGCCCTGGGCCCTGGGCGATCATTGCCTTTTGTCTTTGTCGTTCCCATAATCCGCTGCAGTTGCTGGGGCTGTTGCCGTGTTTACCATATGCTTCTGGTGCTGGTTCATATCTGCCTCTGCCACTGCCTCTGATCCAACCTCTGCCTTTATCTCTGTCTCTTCCTCCGATCTCGGGTTTCGGGTTTCTGTTCTATCGTCTATAATCAACCAAGGTCAGGTTGATTTAGGGCCAAGTTTTGATTCAGCACTGGAATTGGACTTGTGGTTCGATTCGACTCGGTTGGGTTTAACTCGGTTTGTGCTGGGTGGCTGGTTCGTGGTGGTTCGTGATGGCTGTATGGCGTTGGGATGACCGTCGGAGTGCGTGTGAGTAGGCTCCGAGCGCGGTGGATTCGCCGGAAGAATAAGTCATGTCATGTCTTGGTATGTCATGCCATATCACGTCGTATCGTTCCAGGTCATTTCATATCATGTTAAGCTGAGGCGGGATGAGATGTGACGGGACGAGACTGATCAACCACACACACTCTCTCTCGACTCGATCCGCCACGAATCAACTCGAATGAACTCGCTCTTACGACTTGGTTGACACCGTCCCACCCCACACGTCTCCCCCAGACGCTACCCCCGCGGCGCCTGCCTCAGTCGCTGATCGCCCAGCGCCTCGACGATATTCCTCTCGCGCACCTCGCGCATATAGCGCCTTTGGTCGTCGGACGGAGTGAATGGATCGGCGACGTCTGGTCGCTTGATCAGAAGGCGGTGAACCACGAAGCCCATGGTGACGAGGGCAGCGGCGCTGGCGATGCAGATGGCGACAATGCCTTGGTAGGAGATCATCCTGTTCTCTCTCCGCTATGGATCTGGATCGAGGGAGAGGAGATGGTTGAGGAGGAGGAGGGGAATGGAGAGGGATCGGTCGATTGGTCGATTGATCGATTGATAAAGATTTTGGAAGATCGTAAAGACAGAGATAGAGGGCGATGTGCTTGTAAGTAAGTGGACAAGTATAAGTAGGAACGGCGAGGGATAGAGCAGTGAGAAAGATGCTGTATGATTGTTGTCTCTCGGCCCCCTTCACTCACTCACTCGACGGTTCGAATTCAACGCGTAATCCTCCGGTACGTGATTTTCTCTTCTTACTGTTATATACTTTTCCAAGTAGAGTTCCTTTATATTGCGCACGCTGGGAGAATGCTCTCGTGCCCCAAGTCATGGATGGGTCTGGTTGTGTGCTGTGACTGGTCAGCTCGGGTTGTGGAGACAGTTGAGGAGCCTCTCAGTGGGTCCGCGGTTCCAGACAGAGAGAAAGGAGGGACGCGCCATTGGATCCCTTCGAGACATTCAATCTTCTTCGTCTGAGGAAAGGCTTGTTCCCACGAGTCAGGTTGGGGCCAGGCCTCCATCGCGCAATGATTGGTGTGCTCGGGTTGTGGAGAGCGTGACAAGGCCAGAGAATCTTTGTCTCGTTACTTGATATTTGGCCCATGCGTCGTCACCGACTGCTTTGGTCCGGCCGAAGTTGCAGTCGAGTTGCTTGCGCGAGTTTCCAGAAAGGGACGTTTCGGCGCCTCTTTATGGCAACATCCCCTGCTGGTTGGCATAGTATAGGTTTCACTTCGGCTCCTACAGCGGAGAATTTGCTGACAAACTCTCGTTCTCAACCTGGCGAACTCCAGCTCCAGTGCACATTTTCCTCTCCAGAACAACGCCCTTCATATTTCAGTCGAGGCGGTGTCTCCGCCGGGTGGCGTTGCCCTGTCTCACCAGCAAATGCGCCGTGTGGAGGATTGCAACAGGTACACGAGAACGAACGAACGGACAGTTCCCTTCACACCCTCACCAAGTGGTCGACCAACGACCAGACATGGTGCTCGTCTTGCTCCCATTTTTGGACCTGGTGGAACTTTGACGCCCGTCCGTCAGAGTCTGGAAGCTCAATGACCTGACTCCAATGCACTCGATGATTCTCGGGCGGGAGCTCGATATCCGGAGGTTCTGGACAGAAGACCCCGTGAATACTGCCTGATTCCTCGATCCCGACCGACCATTCGGCAATGTCGGCCATTGCGTCGGCTCTCCAAGTATTTTCCACACGAGTCCCATTTCGAAGCAACGCGATTGCCTGTCGCCGAATGACCGGGTGTCGACACTTGACTCCGACTGCAAACAGCGAAGGGATGACTCGAGTCTCAAACATGAAAACGGGCCGCAGCTCGTCGACCCGGGGAGTGACGATGCGACTGGCGTGGTCGACCATGGTCTGGAAGATGGGGAAAAATTTGTCAAAATCCGTTTCATACATGCTCAACCCCGTGCACACCAAGATGAAATAATAGCCGTACACCACGTGGAGCAGCGAATAAGGCTCTACTTCGTGTTGGAGAGGTGGTCTGCTGGGACACCGGATTCTCTCTTCAAAAGCCGTGTGCCACTTGAGAAAGTCCGTTCGAAGTCGTTCCTGTCGGGTAACCAGATCCGAGGAGGGCGTCCAGTCTTTTGGTTTGTTGATTCTGATTTCCCTCGTGTCGACAATAAAATCGTGGGCGGCAAAGAGTAAGACGTAAAGTCCGTCTCGAGCATCCGCCAACGTCTCAAACACCATACGACCAAAAGCCCTTTGCCGGTCCAATGGTAGTCTTTGCGATGCAGACATATTTTGTAACAGGTCACGGACTGTACTATGGATTGAGCTCTCTGACTGTGTTGGCGCACAACTCGAATGGTTGGGTTCTGCTGCCGTTTCCAACATGGCGACTGCTCGTTGATAGAGTGCTATTGCCCCGGAAGAGTTGTTTTGCAGGCACTCTATACAAATGTAGAGGATACACGATATGATAGCGGTTGTTGATTGATGCGTGGCTCCTTTCAGTAGTGACCGTAGACGAGCAATTGACTTGCCGTACCACGTCAAAGCCCTTTGATGTTCTGCATTTGCGACGTTGCTTGCCACTGTACATGTGTTGGATGACTGAAAGTGCTGGATCAGAGACGATAGAGAAATGACGGCGTCCCAGATTACCGGGTCTGAGTGACTGAGCTGAGGAAGAAGCTGGCTCCAGAAGTGTTCGTCCACAGTCCGGGAACAATCAGGCACGACTCGCCGCACGAAGAATTCGAAAGATTGAACCTCGATTCTCTCAGACCCTACATACATTTGGGGTCTTTTAACTTGCACCACTGCACGATTTGCGCCTGGTGACCAGGTCTCCCAGGTCAACTTCGTGCCAGAGTGAAGATAGCCATCGCATTTTCTCCCGGTAGTCAAGCATCTCTTGCAGGCGGGCCGCTCCTGGCCGCACTTTATTTTTCTGATTTTGCAGGTGATACATCCATCATGAGATTTCCTGCTCCCGAGCTGGCCTTGTCTTAGTCGTGATGTAGGCGGCGTCATGTTGAGAAGTTGGTCTCGTTTTGATAGACGGAGTATCGGCAATCAGGGAGAAAAGGTGGTCCATGAGGATGGCAATACACCGTACTGTGGGTCAAAAACCCCCCAAGCTAAGGAGGGTTTGCACCGCAAGCGCTTCATACATGGCAGTGCATGGTAAGTCTCATTGATGAGAAAAATGGAAGTCGGATTTGACGTGATGGGGCCAGGAACCTCCCGCCGCTTTTGGAAGATTCTCAACTGGAGCCAAGACCCGGATGGTGGTGGACATTTAAAGACCAAACAGCCCATATCGACTAAATTGCCATCGTAATGCAGGAACTTCTCCGTCAAGTTCTTCTAGATCTTCGGACAAGGCTTGACTGTCGAGATAGGTCGTTGACCGCACCAGATGGGGGCTTTCACCGACACGAGGCTGCCGAACGACGAGGCTGAGCTGTTTCTCGTTCAGCCTTGCGATGGCCCAGCCTTGCGCCGAGGATTACAACGGTCATAGGTCAACCTCTATGTTGGGATTGTCTTACTATATCAGTCCCACAGGGCCTCGTTCTGGCTACACCTCTGACCGTGGTTAATCCCTCACGCCTCCAACTCAAGCAAGTGCCGTCACTATTTAACCGAATGCCGGCGTTGCCGTATGGGGGAATCGGCGAAACTCCGCCCACATGAAATCGCCGTGGCCTCCAATATTCGGCTGGATATAAAAGGGATCGTGAGCCTCTCGAAGCAAGCAGAGTCATTCACCTATGTGGACCAAAAGGACTGGAATGAAACAAGTCAGCACTGGTCAGCAAATATCAACCTCTGTAGTCGATTCGAGCAATGGAGGACAATCTAGATCGCACGTTACTCCTTCCACCGCACACCGGCTCCAATGTCTTTCCCAATAGCCCTTTCTTCAGCAAGCTCCTGCGCCATGCACGACGCGATCGTCTTGCCCTTCGAGATGTCGATCTGCGACTCGAGAAGACCTATACTGAAATCTTATCCGATGTGCTGTCCTTCAGGTCTGTGGTCGAGCGGTCGCTGAGTGAGAAGACCATCAGCGCTCTCGAAAGGGGTGACGAGGTCTACATTGGAGTGATGGCTGCCGGCGGTTATGAATTTACCGTTGCTGTGCTGACGGTCCTCGCCCTTGGAGCCGCTGTGGTTCCTATAGGTAAGTCCGTGCGAATAAAATGCTGTTCTTTGCCTCTCTTGTCATGTGCTATGCTACCATGTATCCGTAAAGAAACTCCGACTGACTCGACACTATTGTAAGCTACCTCTGCACCCGTGGCTGAAGTCGCTTATTTCGTCACAAAATCACGACAAGCACTGCTTCTCGTGAGCGAAGAAGTCCTCCAGCATGGTCGAGACGTTCAGAATTATATCCATTCCGACACAGGTGTCGATATCTCTATGCTCCCCATTCTTTCCAACATTCCACAGTCTTCTGCGCTCTCTGCCTTTGACATGGTACTCTCTTCAACTCGGCGCTTGGACGACTACGCCCCTGGAGTGGTCATCTTCACCTCAGGCACGACTGGCCGGCCCAAAGGCGCTGTAATGCGCCGCCTATACACGCACGAGAGCGCTCTAGCGATCGGAGAAGGCTACGACGTGTCGCACACGGACGTGCTCCTGCATGTCTTGCCAGTCCACCACACGACCGGCCTGCAGACCTCGTTCTTCGTCTTCCTCGTCGCGGGCGCTTGCATCGAGTTCAAGCGCGGCTCGTTCGACCCGGACTGGGTGTGGAAACGGATGTTGCGGGGAGGACTGACCGTCTTGTCTGCGGTGCCGACCATCCTTTTGCGGCTGAAATGGCACTACGAAAAGCATATCGCCCCGCTGCCTCCGACAGAACGACAACAGTACGACGATGCAGCAAACAACTTCCGCGAGGTCATGTGCGGCTCCAGCGCGCTCCAGGACCCTGTACAAGAGTTCTGGACCACATTGCGCCGAGGCCGACCCATCCTGACACGCTATGGGGCCACCGAGTTCCCCGGGTGCCTGAAAGTGCCGTCTAACGCAGGCGATCTCCCTCCCGGGTGCGTGGGCCTGCCCGTGCCGGGGGTGGAATTAAAACTGTCCGAAGGCGACGAGGGCGAACTCCTCGTGCGTTCGCCGTACATGTTCTCCAAGTACCTGTTCGATACGGAGGCGACGCGCCAGGCGCACGACGCCGACGGCTTCTTCAAGACGGGCGACATCCTCCGCCGCGAGGGGCAGTATTACTTCGTCGTGGGCCGCGCCTCAGTCGACATCATCAAGTCCGGCGGCTACAAGATCTCGGCCATCGACGTTGAGAGGGCGTGCTTCAAGCTGCCCTACATCAGCGAGGTGGCCGTGCTGGGCGTCGATGACGACGAGTTTGGCCAGCGCGTCGCCGCTGTCGTCGCCCTCAAGACGCCGCCTTCGAACACGGGCGCTGGAATCCCTCCTCCGAGATTAACCATCGAGCGCCTCCGAGCAGACCTTCGCGGCGAATTGACCCCGTACAAGCTCCCCACCCTCCTACGAGTCGTGCAGGGCGAGATCCCCAAGGGCGGCACGGGCAAAGTACAGAAGAAAATCCTGGGGCCGCAGATGTTTCCGTCGGACTGGCGGACGCATGCGGACGTGCAGGTCTATGAACCCAAGCGAGGCAGGGTGGCGAAGCTATGAACTGTCAACTGTGAGCAGTCAACTGCGACTAGATTTACCGGTGTTGTCTGGAGTTCGTCTGCCTTGCAAGTGTAGAGCGGAGTATAATAGCAGAGCGAGTTACAGCGCGGGCTCATAGAAGGACATAAAGAGCGTTTTGAAAGATATATGGGAAAGTCTATCCTAACCAGATACATTTCTCTTTTTCTCTCTGAGATCCACGATTGAGAATTTCTGCAACCTTGTCTTCTTGCTCATGTCGTACCTACCACGCCGCCTCCTCGACCGCTCTACCGTCCGCGTCAGCGGCCAAAAAACCAAAAAAAAAAAAACCAAAAAAAAAAAAGAAAAAAGAAAAAAGAAAAAAGAAAAAAGAAAAAAGAAAAAAGAAAAAAGAAAAAAGAAAAAAGAAAAACTTGTTTTGGTGGTGGCAATTTAAAAAAACACCGTCGTCGCACGATTCGAGTCAATCAAGTTGTAGTTGGCACGGAATACTCACGAGATACTTGATAATATCGGAGCAATAACTCGGCATTAGGTTTGTGATTGACCAGATCGTCCATCACAGATAGGTAGGTACCTCATGATGACTTTCATGATGGACCGTCCTCCGTCGTATTAAGCATTACGTGCGCCGTGCGGGAAGTACAAAACTTGACTCCAGGAAGCAATACACCAAAAAGCTGCTGGCCAGCTCAAAACCCCTTGCTGGCTTCAGCTGATGTCGAGGCTTGTCGTAACCAATGCGGCCTTTCATACACTCCAAAACGATTTGTGCGGTTCATAATACCCAAGCCCGCGCCATGCAAAATGGGAGATTATCGTAATACATTTCACTTCTTGCCCTTCTTCCCCTTTCCTTTTGTGGGTTCGTCTGTAGTGCCCAAAATCGCGTCAAAGGTGATGTTCGGATTCAGCGTTGAGGGGGGTCGAGAGCTATTGCGGTACGAGGGTGGCGCATCCATGGCTTCCAGGCCCAAATTAACCGAACTTCGATCTCGACTGATGCTGCGGAAATCGCCAGAGCCAGTAGGAGATGCCGGGCGCAGTAGCGGTGAGTGTAGGGGGCTGACATAAGGAGATTGGGCGGGACTCGCATACGGTGAATATGCGCTGGCTGGCCGCAGCTGCAGCTGGTGCCCACTGCCATCCACGCGCTGGGATGTTTCTGTGGTTGCTTCTGGAGTCGATTCTTCAAGCCACTTTGTAGCGGCTGTCCAGCAGTGGCTCCGTCTGTAAATCCCTTCAACACTGTGATCGATCAGGTCTGCCGGAAGACTCACGTAGCCACCGCCACTGGCTACGTTATACCATGCTCGAGACGTAGACTGATCCTCCTTCATCCACGGTCGCCCGCCTCTGGGTGCGACGCACAGGAAATATTCCACACCTTCGGTATGCTTCAGGTCCCTCGCGTCGACCACGGTCATGGGCAGAGCCTGAAGGACGGCGTACATGAACAGCCATTGCCCACACCGCGCGTCTACGACCTGATCAAGGGTCTTTCCTCGACCAAGTTGACGTTCGTAACTGAAGAAATCCTGGATGAAGGTGCTGGCGACGATCGACTCGCGGTTGTAGGACCCCAACAGGACCTCGTTGATTTCGTTCTCCTTCAGCTTTTTGCTTTGAGCGGCTGATTTGTCAGAAATCACCACATGGCGACGATTAAAACTGTTGGAGAACTGTGGAATCAACGGTGTATCGAACGGGATAGGGGGAATAACTGGTGGTGTGGCTCGATCATATTCACTCTCGACCCTTCGGAGCGCATGTTGTATTGTTTCATTCTGGTCGTCAGTTTCGGCATCATCGGCCATTGGCGCCATGTCGACAGTCCTTGTCGTGATAGCTGAACGGTCCACAAAGATGTCGTACAAGTCTGTAAAGTCTTTGTACAGCTCCTGTAACAATATCCGATTAAGGCCGCTTTCCTCAAAGTTGTTCTTCTTCGAGGACGCTTTGGGAGGCCAAGCACCGTAACGTCGGCGTAGATAGGCCATAGTGAATCGTCTAAAGTCTAGAAAAGCGGTTTTCCATTCCTTGAACCGAATCAGTTTAGCTTCAGTCGAAGTCTGTGAGTTGGCGATCCCAGCAAACATGGAAGGGAAGTCGAAGTCTTCGAGTTTGCCCTTGACCGTTAACAGCCTTTGCTCCATGTCGATCTGGGCTCGCTCCAACCGGTTTATCGTGATCGGTGACATTTTCTCGTACTTTGGACTTTTGATTGACTTGATGTCTGCGAGGCGACCGACGGCGTGGCAGAATCCTTCATTGTACAACGGCCATGATTTGAGGTGCTCCCCGAGCACTATGGCCTCGATGGTCTTTTCACGACTGGACCTCACATCAGCCAGTCGGAGCTCGTCACA